CCCCCGGACATGTCGAACATCGTTAAATCAAAGATGAAAATTGATGATTCTATACCCACTTTTCATCAGGGCGTAGAACGATAATCTCCAGTTTCCTGGCGATTCTCACTGGGTCGTGGCACACCCAGCTCAAGCCCCCCCCCCTCATTATCCAGACCTACCCAATCTTTTGCGTGCAAACTGTCATCACCTCCAAAATCCAATTCCATTATAGACTCAATAAGTCCAGAGCCAGTGAGATTATTCACATGTCACTGAAGTGTGGGTGAGGCACGTTATACTTCAATTTCAATATGTACTCGGAGTTTGTCCTTGACACATCTTGAGCCCATAAAATCTTATCGCATAAAAATTGGCCATATGCGAGTGATAAAAAAATTACTGCGCTCAGACACCGGTACAATCATCAATTTTAGGTTGAGTTAAATTTTTCAGTAGTTAACTGCTTAATATTACGCAATAAATGGTATTACGATTAACTTAATTATTTTTAAATTATTATATTAATCATCAATTAAATATTTGAAATCCGAATTATTTTATCAATCAACCAGGGGCTTCGCCCCCTGCTCCCTTCGCTCACGGACCCCGGGGGGGCCTCGCCCTCTGCTCGCTTCGCTCACTGCCCCCCACGCGACTTTTTCGAGTTCGATAGAATAGATTTTTTTATTTTGTCGTATTATTTTAATCTTTTTAATGAGACTCGATTTATTTTTATACATAGGTCTTGCATAAAGGGGCATAAACCCCTTTAAAATCCTTATGAAGGTGTTGTCCTCCCTTTCCTATCCCACCCCCCATTTCCCTCCCTATATCACCTATTTTTTCGGAATGTCATTAATTAAATATTCGAATTCAGAATTATTTTATCAATCAACTAGGGGGCTGCGCTCCTTGCTTGTTTCGCTCGGGAACTCCGGAGGGCTTCGCCCCTTGCTCGCTTCGCTCACGGACCCCGCGGGGGCTCCGCCCCCCTCCACGCGACTGTTCGAGTTCGATAGAATAAATTTTTGTTTTCATTTTATAGTATCTTTTTAATCTTGTTAATGAGACTATAGTATTATTTTAATCTTTGTAATGAGACTTATTCAACCTCAGTAAATTTTTCATTTGAAATAAAATCATGAACTCCTAGAAGTATTTTAAATCTGTTGTACAGCAGTTTTAATTTAGCACTCTATCAAGGGAATTCTATATCGAGGAATTCCATTCCATTCATCTGGAGGGATCGTCCGGCCGACCTTGGGCCGAGAAAAATCCTACTTGAACGCACCCTATATTTTATCATATAGAGATAATTGCATTCGGAAGATTGGCGATTATTAGAATAATCGAAAAATCCTTTTATGAAATTTAGAATTGTTTACCCAGCAGTCAATTGAAAGCTTCAATTATCAATTATTTTACTATTTCATCGCGCCTCGAAATTAAAGTTTCCATGCATGCGAGGTGCGTCTTGTGTAGAAAATATAGACATGAAATATTAATAGCGATACGACTCTCTCTTATTAGGAGTGCGTCAGTAACAAGGACCTTTGACTGCAATTCCCTTTGATCTCGAGAAATAATTTCTCGTTCTCATCTGTATTTTTCATTCTCTCCACATACTCATCGCTAACGTTAGCCTTCAATCCAATTGATATGTGCAAAAAGGTGGTTGGAAAATGGTTTCTTACACGTCTGCTGTTTGCACCGTAGCTGAAACCTTTGCTATGAAGCGGAATATGTGTTCCACTGTGATTAAAATTAGTACGCCGTAGTAATGCTTCCACGGATTATACGTGACTCCCCTAGGTAATTTCCACGTCATTTATGATGCATTTTTGCTCGTGGGCAAATGGCGCGTGTAAAAAAAAATTTTCAAACTTTGAATTTCATCAATTTTCTATTATATTTCCACAGTTTATTGTCAGATGAGTCAATAGGGTGATCAGAGATTTTAAAATGATATAATTTTATTATTATTATTATAAAATGATGTCATTTTAATTATAATAATTCTAGATTATTTTATTATAATCTTTTCTAATCTAAAAGCCATTAAAATGACATAATTGTAATAAAAATTATAATTATAATTATAAAAAATGATTTAAAAAACTATCATTATATTTTACTGATAAAAATTATTATTATTGCAAATAATTGATTTTTCAGTTTTATAATTATTACATTTCATTATTATTATTATTATTATTATTATTGGATTATGGGGTTTAAAATAAGAAACACCTTTTATCTATGTGAACACTTTAATTGAAAAATCTCTAAGACTCTACACAGACAGAACGTAGTTGACATTATGAATATCTACGAGAGACTAAAGATGGTTGCTAGTGAGGCCCAGGGCTAATATAGACCTAGAAGGGCAATATAATTTTCACTTCCTGAAGGAACGCTCGGTCTTTCCCTCTTGACGCCGCCTGGCCGCCAGGTGTACTTGTGGGGAAAAACCCATCATTAAAAGTCCCGAGAGGACTTTTCCCCCATTTTACACTCTCAGGGAAGACCCCATAGCAATATAAAGCAATAAACCTTTCCTTAACATGAAATAACTTGGGAGAGTAAATTTTGATCTCAGGGAAAACTCCGTAAGCCATCAATTATTACTATTATAATCAATTATTATGATAATTAGTTCATGTTAATGGCTTTTAGATTAGAAAATATTGACGTATCGTCAATAAAAAAAAATTGATGATTATTTCTGGATGAAGTGGAGCTCGAAAAAATTCGATAACCAATTTCAGTGGAAAAATCCCTCTTGCAATTGATGAAGTTATTCTTTTCATAGGCCGTAGGAAGGAAATAAAGCTAGTCCCGTATTTTCATCAAGGGGCTATACCCTCGAATCCCCGAGCGAATAAATCATGAATTTTCGGATAAATCTGGTTGCAACGTCACAAAATTCTCACCGCGAAAGGTCATACAATTTTATCCTCTTTGATTACACCTCCCCTCAATTTTCCTTCACCCCCAAGTCCTCTCCCTCCCTTTCATACAGCACGGCATGACACCCGAGCTACGACGCAGTCGCGTGAGGAGCGAAGCTCTCGTTCGCCTCGTAGCTGGCAGTCTGGCGTCGCTGGCCGACGTAACTGGTGCATTTTAATCGGTTCCGGGGGGTGTCCAAGAGAAAAAAAAAAAAAAAAAAAAAGGGTGACCTCGTCACTTCGACCTCGCGCAATATTCCTCGAAAATCCATCGTCCCGCGGATCCACGAAACTTCATTTTCATTTTTCTTCGCATTTTCACACCTGACCCTCAGGCCTGAATGATCGCGCTCTCTCGGAGGGGACACCCCAGGGGAGAGGGCAGCCAATGTGATGGCAAAGTGACACCAGCGGAGATTCAAGATTATTTCCGCAGACGACTCGCGAATTCGCGAAGTGCCTCGCAGCTTTAACATTATTTCGTCTGGCGAAGGTGCGCCGGAAGTCAACCGCCGGAACATGGCGCTGTTTCCTCGAGTGTCGCACACCCGCGTATTGAAGTGCCCGACGTGAATGGAAATAGTCGAATTATTTTTATCAGCCATTCACGCCTTCTTCGGAATTTCGCATTCCTCGGGGGATTTTCGCGATTGGAATTCACTGTGAATGAGGGACTCGCGGCACTGGGGAACCGGAAGTGCGCAGAGAGTCTGATGTACTCGGCGTTGGTGATATTCAATTTGACGGACCGATGAGACTGTAAGTTTTTCCCGTGAAAATCATGAGATTGAAAAATTTTCAGTGAAATTTTTTTTTTTTTTGAAATAATCTTCTGCGGTGGAAAACACGTGAATTTTAGTTGCGAGGCGGTGAATTGAATAGCGTTGAGGGGAGACGGAGTCTGAAATTCTCTCTGATTTTGAGAATTTTTTTTTTTGGGGGAGATTTCACTGGCAGACGAGAGTTCTCGTGATTTCCGCTCTCATTCGGTCCCTCAGGAGAGCTTTCCGCGTTTTGCTGCACCCAGCCGCCGCCTGCAGGCCGTCCAAATCGATTTCGAAAACGGCCGTTGACCATATAATAGCGAAAAAATATTGCTATAACCGCGGGCAATGCATTTTCAAAGCTGGGGGGAGTGTTTTGCAATCCGTCAGTCGAAATATTAATAATCGCCGGTGAAATCGCCTCGGGAATTCAATGAACGCGAGGGGAATAGCGGCTCGTGGAACATACCTGAAATTGAATCGATTAAGTTATTTTAGAATTCATTCTACGAAGAGGGAAAGTCTGTTCTCATGAAGCAGAAGAGGCTTTTTTTCGTTTCGATGCGACGAAGTCACGTGACGTGCAACGTCAAAGGTGATCGTCACAAGATTTTTTGTGAGTTAATGATTTTCAATTGAGGGATGAAAATGGGGAATTTGTAATTGACGTGACGCACGGAGCACGTGCTCACGGGGAAAATAATGAGGAATCAGGCATCGATGGCAGTAGTGAGAGCATCGTTTCGCCAGACCGCCTGGCGTCGAGAACATCTCGCGGGGTTCAATTCCACTTTTCTTCAACAGTTAATCCCATCTCTAATGCGAATTAAAACTCCAGCGGAGCGGTAAAACGGCTCAAGCAGATTAAGCTGAGTTTTCCGGGAATATCTCCGAATCTAGGAGAGATAACGTAATTTTCGTAATGACCTTTTTTATGGGGCGAATTGAGGGCTATAAAAAAGGTTATGACGAAAATTTTGATATCTCTCTTATCTTTCGAGATATTCACTGAAAACTGATGATATTCGGTAAAAACCTCAGGCGTTTCATTTTTTTTTATTTTTTCATTCCAGAATTTTGAGAAAATATATTCGTTTCGTGGGAACTCCAAAACTGGCAGATTTATTCGTTTAGCTCAAATATTAGACTGGAAACCCAAGGGTCGTGGGTTCAAACCCAAGAAATGAAATCAAAACCGAAGGGATTCAGCGGTTCAAGTCGATTTCGACTGTCGGTCGGTTTTCGATGATCAATAACTCAGAGTCCAAGGCCCATAGCATAATTTTTGTCATAACCTTTTTTGTAGCCCTGAATTGGCTCTACGAAAAAGGTTCTTACAAAAATTTCGTTATCTCCGTTAGATTCGGGGGTATTCCTCGAACAGCCGAGGGCTAATGTCGGTATTCAGGGGATGATAATTTCTTTGGCTTATCGGTCAGTTTGCGGCCCTGACTCTGAGTCCTCTTCAGGGTAATTTTACATAAATCTGTTGGAGTGAACAACGATCCATACTAATTTACAATAATTAAAAATTTGAAGGGACAACAATTTGGAGAAATCATGAAAAGAGCGTCAATATTTATGACAACATTCATTGAATTATTCTTCAATGTTCTCATCTTTAATAGTCCTCTTGACAAATCCAGTGGAATATTGACTTCTCAAAATAGTCTAAAATTTGTATGAATAGTGCTTCATAAATATTAATAAAATTTGGTAAAAAAATGTTTCAACGAATTCAGTAGCGAAGTGGTAAACCGGTATAAGTCGATTTTGACTATTTGCCAGTTTTCAATAAATATCTCGGAATCTGAGGGAAATAGCGAAATTGTTGTGCTTTCCTTTTTTGTAGCTCTCAATTTGCGCTACAAAACAGGTTATGACAAAAATTTTGCTATTTCCCTTAGATTTTGAAATATTTATTGAAAACTGGGCGGTAGTCAAAATCGACTTATACCGCGAAAATAAATGACAATAAAAAAAAAGGTCGTTTTTTTGGAAATGTGAGAAATAAAATAGTGAAAATAAATTAGTGCAATGGGAGGATTAACCCGAATTATTAGAGTTGCGGTGAAAAAATGATATAGTTTATGCAAGGGACTGAACTTGTGCTGTTCCGGCGAAGGGCGAAACGACTGGGGGGCAGTTGATGAGGGGATTTGGAGGGGGAGGGGGGAATTGAAGGCGACGCGCACGGGTAGGTTGGCACCCCGCAACGGTCGATACTCGACTGGCACACTCTGCGCCCGTGAGAATGCACCTCTCTCCTTTATCTTTCGTTGGAGAAACGCGAGAACGATTGAGAACCCCTAACCACCTTGCTCGCTACAATGTGTACCTGACGAATGTCACAATCGCCGAAGCATTGATCTCGTTCGGGGGAAAAATAATTGCGCCGAGGGCTTCGTAAATGTTGTTCCATAAAAATAATTTCCACGCGTGAAAAATGAAAAAGAACATCTTGTAGAAAATTTAAACTCGTCAATTTCGAGAGAGAATTTTGTTTTTTAATGAGTTCATTCATGCGTCGATATCTGTTAATACGAGGGAAAATAAACGACAATTTTTTAATTAATATTTCCCATTTTTAGTTTTATATTTTGTTTGAAGAGGAATAAAGAAAATACTGAGGAGATATAATAAATGAGCGAGAAAGATGAATAGAATTTTCCAATAATTGCGCCGAGGGCTTCGTAAATGTTATTCCATGAAAATAATTTTCTTTCTCATTTTCACGCGTGAAAAAATGAAAAAAAATTCGGATAGAAAATTTAAACTCGTCAATTTCGAGAGAGAATTTTGTTTTTTAATGAATTCATTCATGCGTCGATATCTGTTAATACGAGGGAAAATAAACGACAATTTTTTAATTAATATATTCCCCGTTTTTAGTTTTATATTTTGTTTGAAGAGGAATAAAGAAAATACTGAGGAGATATAATAAATGAGCGAGAAAGATGAATAGAATTTTCCAATAATTGCGCCGAGGGCTTCGTAAATGTTATTCCATGAAAATAATTTTCTTTCTCATTTTCACGCGTGAAAAAATGAAAAAAAATTCGGATAGAAAATTTAAACTCGTCAATTTCGAGAGAGAATTTCCGTTTTTAATGATTCAACATTTTCATTTAATTTCCTCACTTGAACATCATAAACATCATAAAATCCGACAAATAATATTTCGCAGTTATCATTTCACCAATGATTACAACTAATTTACAAACTTGCAGAAAAAATCACGAGTGATGGAGTCTTTATGGATATTTATTAATTTCAAATATTTAATTTTTTTAATTTCCAAGTATTTTTTACGTTTTGGCACAGACAATACATTCAACCATATTTAATCATCAAATTTGTCAATAAAATTGTGTCATTAACAGAATTATTATTGTTTTAGAGATTCGTTGTTTGCAGATTATTTGTAAAAAATGCTAGGAATTTTCGAAAATTGTCATTTAAAATTATTTCATCAATCTTTCTCCAAAAGTAAACTTTCTAATTTTTTTTTAAATATCTAAAATGTTTTCTCACGGTTCAATCTCGAGATTCGAATTGAGACCTGCAAATTTTAAATAATAAAATCATTGTGCAAAAGTAGAAAAATATTTCACTGGAGAAAAAAATTGCGAAAGTACTCGGATGTCCTCAACATCCCTATGTATTCCTAATCAAGTACTTCTAATTTTTTTAATACAGCAAATTGTAAATATTTGCCTAGCGCAACTGAAAACTAAACTGTCCACTCCGACACGAGTTCTAGATTTTTTCTCTAGGTCAATCCTCTAATGCAAATCAAATTAGTCTTCAACTGAAAAGCAATGATGGTCTCGCTGAGGAAGTCCGTCTGCCTTCAATGATTAAAAAAAAATCTCTCCATCTGGCAATGTTTTCCCCGAGGCAAACACGCGCGTTTCAACCAATATGTTTAGAATGTTCACTCGAGACTGTCTGAAGTGAAAATATTTTTTTGAAACACGTGGTGACTACCGCACCCGCTCGATTTACGGTGCATATGAGACCGGAGAATCCACCAACTTTGACTCTACATTATTTGTAGAGCGAGTTAAAAATTCCGACGCATCGTGTGAGGGGTTCTGAAAACGGAGAGGACGATTCAGTGCACGGAGGGAAAAGTTGGATAAACATGATCGAAAACATCAGCGAATATCACGGAATCCAAGGCAGATAGCAAAATTTTTGTCAGAACCTTTTTTGTAGAGCGAACTGAGAGCTACGAAAAAGGTTTTCATGAAAAAATCGCTATCTCCCTTAGATACCGAGATATTCATCGAAAACTCAGCTGCTAACGAATTCGATTGATGTAAATGTATTAACATTTTGCTTTCAGAAGCTGAGAAATAGAAAAAAATCAGAGGGCAGGATGGGCTCTTGCAGTGTGTACCTTTCTCAACTCCGGGCTATGCTCGTGAGAAATTTACTGCTCAAGAAACGGGAGAAGCGAAAGACTACTGCGGTGAGTCTCTGAATTTTCAGTTTACGACATAATAAAATTTTCCATTGAAAACAATATCAGGAATGTCCAATTATTCTTCACAAAAAAACTTTTTTCAGAATATTTCCCTCTCACACAAAAAAAATTTGAAAACTGTTCATAATTATTTCTTTGAAATCGATTGCTTCTAAATTATTTACGAAAAACAATCCTAATCTTAAAAAATTTCAATAGTAGTAGATCTGGATAGGAAGTGGATTGAATTTTTTTTTTTTTCAAAATGAAAACAATAAAATCATCGAGGTTCAAATGAAAGAATTGAAAAAAAAAAATATCGTCGAGGTCCATTTTTTTTCAACTCATCAACATTCAATTTTTTTTCTTTGAATTTCACTAGATTTAATTTCATTTTTCATTCATTAGATCGTCATTTAATTTCATTTCGCATCTGTTCACATTTTATTACGCCTTTATTTCACTCCGCCCCGCGTGCCCTCTCCACGCACCCATAAATTGGCGATTGCGTAATGAGCCTGCTTGGAATGAAGCAGTCCAAGCGGCAATCGCTGAATTATTTAGCATGTACCCTCCTCAATGTCAATATGACAGATGAACTACGTGATGAGGAAGCTGCGGTGCCAATTGCGAGCTAAACGATATTCGTCGATCGCGAAACATAAAAATAATTGCGACAACTTTTGTCCGAAGAACGTCAAAAAAATTCTCTCGTTAAAAGTTTTCCCCAATTAGCGAATGGCGAATTGGACCCCAGAAAACTCGACAGACGCAGTTAGGAAAAAAAATGAAATCAACTCCAACGAAGCATTGATCCCAGTATAAAGTTTATTTTATTCCAAAATTTAAGGAAAATTACAACTGGCCAAGATATTCCGCCAAGTCCGATATCACTTGCCAATTTTCTCGACTTTTCTTCGCGTATATTCGTGCCAATTAGGCCAAGGGTTTCAGCAATAAACGAGCAAGAAAGAAAAACCCGAAATCATCGTGTTTCTCTGTCGAAAATTTCTCATTTCTTCCTCGAGTTCTTCTGCTTGTTATCCCGACTCTTGAATATAGCTGGATCGATGGTATTGGAAGGTCCGTCCTTCCACAGATTCAGGGATAAACTCTCTCTGGGCTTGACAGCTGTCGGTAGTAGGTGGGGCCCAACTAGATAGTACGTCTGTTCCACCCAAGTTGTCAGCGGGAGTCCCAGTGCGCAGTACTGCCACATGGGCAGCCCCTGGTGAACAAGCATCATTCGAAAGTACTTGGTGAAGCTCTTGGACAGCTGATACCAAGTCCCCCCATTCTCCTCGTAATACAGCCATATCCCGGGCTCGTTATCCACCTCTGGTCTGACGTGATAAACGAGGAATATCTTGCTGGTGCCGCACTGATCGATCTCAAAGAGTTTGCAGCGCGGCCCTTGGGATGGAATGTCCGACGACTCGTCCTGAGTCTTGTTCTCGGCATCTGCTTGCTGCTCTTTAGTCCCTACGAAGCGTTTTAGGGCCGCGAATTCATTGATCACCATGCGACCGACCGGGAATTCTTCGCCTGGGACAATAACTTTGTTGTTATTGCGACGTTACGAGAATGGAAAAATCTGGAAGATGGCTTGATAAAATTGTTCACTTTGTAGAAAGCGAATGCAGCAAGTTGAAGCCGATTTGAAGAGCATGAATAGTTTTAAGAGGTGTTTGAAAAGCCGAGGTGGACGCCGCCATCTTTAAACCCCCTCGCGGCGGACGGAGGAGGTTCCCGAGCAAGATGGCGACGCTCACATCTGCCACCTCGTATTTTCAAGCATTTTCTGAAATTATTTGTTATCTTCTGATCACCTTTAACTTGTTTCATCCAATTCCTAGAGAAAGAACGATTTTTTAAAGATAATCTTCAAATTTTTAAATTATTTTTTGACTGAGAATTTATGACGCTGTTTTTTTACTCAGATATTGAGCGAAAATATAATAATTCGTTACCGGCAATATCTAAGCTCCAAGTCAACGAAAATCCATCAATCGAGGCGTAAAAACTCTTCAAATCCTCGGGAAGTAGGCAGCAGTGCCGCTGCTCCCAACTCGATAGTGCACTTCTATCACATGCACTTCTCCTTTCCACTTTGACGTGCCTCACGCATGGGCTCGCCTCGAGGAGCTTAACGACACCGAGTGTCAGATTCTCGTAGAATGAGTCCTCAGTTACAATGTCAACGAAGAAAGACATCTGATGGGTCACCGATACCGTATGATGTCGATGATGTTATTGAGGACAGGAGGATGATTGGGTGGGACGTGCGAGGGATCGACTGTGCGCATTCTCTCTCAGTGGGTTCAACTATACCGTACCCCAGTTTGTTTATCCTCATGGCAACCAGATTCGACTCCAATTCATACCTCTGATATTCTCCGATTCGAATGAGAAATATTGTTGAGATGCCCCTGATACAGGGCTTTTGTTTATTTAATTTTTTCAACAATTTCACTCTTTCGAATTTCACTCTCAAATTGACTCATACCCGAGTAGAAATTCTGTTCAGGTCTCGGTCAGAAACTGATCAAGTCCGATCCGAAATTCTGATCAGGCATGTTACGCCTCTGCCTTAGGTTTTTCCACTAGGGTTTCTCCGCCTTCCATCATTAGGCATTAATTAAATTTAATTTTTTGAGAGAAAAAATTAGAATAACTTCCTAGCCGGGAATCGAACCCGGGACCTCCCAATGTCGCGTCGGGTGCTCTTACCATCTGAGCTACCAGGACACTTACGAATTTCACTCTCAAATTGACTCATACCCGAGTAGAAATTCTGTTCAGGTCTCGATCAGAAACTGATCAAGTCCGATCCGAAATTCTGATCAGGCATGTTACGCCTCTGCCTTAGGTTTTTCCACTAGGGCACCCACAGGATATGCCCAGATAAAATAATACATTATCATTGTCATCTAGTCGCTCGATTTTTATAAAATTCTATGCTATCTGCCATTTTTGTTACTATCTAGTATAAATTTTATTTACTTAAAACTTTTCATGTTATTATTATTGATATTATTGTCATTATTTTTCATCATTTTTTTTTTACTTTTTTAATTTATTGTTATTAAGTCTTGAATAATATATTTGATTTTTTGTTTGTTATCATTACATACAATCTATTATGGGAATTGAACGACGATTGCTGGAGGGTCAAGTCCCCTGTCAAATATCAAATGACAAATGTCTTTAGGATATGTTATGATAGTTGAGCTACGCCAAATACATCAATGACAAAGAACATTATTCCATTTGAAAAAGAAACATTGGTTTTTCAGGAGGTTTTCCTTCCTCTGTGGACCCTGGGAATTCTCATCGTGGTTAAAGTTTTGATACCAAATCCAAATTATCCTGCCATGAAAACGCAACGACAGGACGGTGATATATTTGAGTTCTTCAATGGATATAGAAACAATACAATAACTGTTGTACCAAATTCAACGGAGACAGTTGTGAGTTAATTCAAATATTCACTATTTCCGTTCGAAGTTTCTGATTCCCCTCGGATGTGTGGACAGAAACACGAATGGCAATTTCCACTTTCTCATCGTCCTTCAAATAAAGAAGCTTAAACGATGTTGTGCAACTGAAACGAGAGAACAGGGGGCGATTAAGGGGAATTTCGTTTTTTCAGAGCTTCTTAAATTCAATGAACACCCTGTGGCAGTCGATGTGGGGTTCCTCAGGAAACCCTCTAAACTTTATGGTATTAGAGACTAAGGATGATCTACAAGCGGCTTATTGGCGCGATCCGTACAGCATACCACTGGCTGTTATATTCGAGGATCCACAGCCAATCAGCCGTCGTTTGCAGTAAGTAAGATGGTATTTTTAAAAATCTGCGAATGCTTCAGAAAATTCCAGAATATTCAACATTTTTTGGGAAAGCTCCGTGTTTGGAATCCTGTCCGATTTCGGGAAGAATTCCGGACCTTTCCGACTTGTTGCCTGAGGTATTCGGAAACCCTCGCCGAGCACCGATTTCACCCGAGAGGTGTCGGTTCGCCTCCCGAATTTTCAGACAGTTATTCGTCACCAGTCGAACATATGAAGTGGGAAAATCATATCTGTAAATTATCATCGTAAAATCACCGGGAAATTTATCTTGTCAATCATCGAGTCATTCGACTTTTGGAAACTTTATCCGAATATTTCATCGGTTAATTTGTTAAATTGACTTGGCTCAGGGCTAATTCCGGAGTTCTTATTCCTAAAACCTGCACTTAATTCCCCTCCACGACCTTTCTGAAATTCACCGAAACTCACGAAATATAGAAAACCCTTTGTTATATTTTTCCAAAATCCACAAAACGTCTAAAATTCTCCAGAAGACTTTAGAATTTTCCAGAGTCATAAAAATTTTCTATAAAAATCTCGAATTCCGACAGATGGCGCTGCGGCATGAAGACTTTTCCCAAATGGCGGGAAAAATAATCGCCTTAAAAAATGACGGAAAATTTTCTATTCAACAGATACGAGATACGTACAAATCCCTCGTACACATCGCCCCCCTCGCCAACCGAATTCTACTCATCTCCAGTCACATGTCGAAAGGACACCAGCCACTGGCTGGGGGGAGTCCTCTCGATAGAGACTGGAGGCTCCTGTCCAGTCAATGATTACCTGCACTCTGGTTTCATGGCTCTACAGATGATCATAGACATGACGAAAATTCGGGTACGTCATGATTTTCTCACTCAGACCTGAAATATTTCACGAAAAAAATACTTCTTTCTGATTCAGCTCGACACAGGAAACAGCGAGGTCACAGTGCCAGATGTGAAGCTCGAGATGTTTCCTAAGGAGGCTTACACTGCTGGTAAGTATCTCTACAGTTGAAAAACACGAGAGACACTGAATGAGATGTTTTTTTTCACAGACTGGATGCTGGCATTTAGAGTTGTTATACCACTCTACATGGTTCTAGCACTTTCACAATTTATAACTTATCTTTTGATATTAATTGTGGGGGAGAAGGAGAATAAGATTAAAGAGGGGATGAAGATAATGGGTTTGAAGGACTCAGTATTTTGGTGAGTATTGGCATCAGTCTCGATATATCACGACTGAAAAACTTGATAAACTCTGGAAAAATCATGCAGAAAACACCAAAATAGAGTAATATTTTTGGATACACCAAAAACTATAGAAAAAGAAAAGGGTCAGAAGTGGTTCCAAAGGTCATGAAACGGAGAAATGCTTAAATTTCCACATTCGATTTTCGGGGTCATTACAATAATTCCTCCCTTCGGGTCGGGAAGTTAATATAATAAAAAATATAATAAAAAATATAATAGAAAATATACCATAAATTCTCCCCCTATTCTTCCAGGATGTCGTGGTTCATAATCTACAGCATTTTCGTGCTAGTCCTCTCAGCAGTGGCAGTTGTCCTCCTCTTCACCCTCCAGATGTTCCAGCACACTCACTTTCTCCCAATATTCCTCCTGGTAGTCCTCTACTCCTTCTCCGTGATAATGTTTGCCTTCATGATAACCCCATTCTTCGACAAATCCCGGACAGCCGGTGTTCTCGGCAACTTCGCCGTGACAATTCTCAGTCTGATGTACTTCATCCAAGTATTCGTCGACGACTCGAGCTCAATATCATTCTGGGTGGTGTCGATCCTGAGTCCGACTGGCGTCGCCCTTGCCATGGACAAAGCCCTGGTGCTAGATCTCCAAGGGGAGGGAGTGAATTTCGATAATTTGTGGTCAGGGCCGGGCATACCGTTCGGTGGTAGTTTAGTAATGATGACACTGGACATATTTCTGTACGGGCTGCTCGCTTACTACCTGGACTCCGTTGTCCCGAGTGAGTACGGAGTGAAGAGGCCACCCTGGTTCTGCTTCACTCGCGGCTACTGGTGTAAGAAAAAGGTCCAGAGGATACCCTCATCAAACGGTGAATCCAATTCATTTATCCCCGAGGAGGAGGCCAATCGCGATGTCGAGCCAGTAGTGAGAGAGATGAAGGGACGAGAGGCGATCAGAATAGTCGACCTTTACAAGTCTTACCAGAAGTGTCGAAAGCCGGAGATAAAAGCGGTCAACGGCATTAACTTAACTATTTACGAGGGTCAGATAACAGCCATTCTGGGGCACAATGGGGCTGGGAAGACAACCCTGTTCAATATATTAACGGGCTTGACAGCCCCAACAGCGGGTACTGCTCTGATATTTGGGTACGACGTGAGGGACTCCAACGACATGCAGATGATCAGAAGTATGACAGGCGTTTGTCCTCAGCACGATATCCTTTTCGATTTGCTGACCCCTCGTGAGCATCTCGAGTTCTTCGCTGCTGTGCGCGGCATTCCTCGCTCCGAAATTGATATCGAAGTCAAGAAGACCTTGAAGGACATTGACCTGCTGGAGAAGGCCGACACCTTCGCAAAGTATTTGAGTGGTGGACAGAAGAGAAAGTTGTCGGTCGGCATTGCTATAATTGGGGATCCCAAGATCATTATTCTCGATGAACCAACGGCCGGTGTTGATCCTTACTCGAGAAGACAGATGTGGTCGTTCCTGCAGTCCAGACGACACGGAAAAGTCATCCTCCTGACGACACACTTCATGGACGAGGCTGACATTCTGGCTGATCGAAAGGCCGTCATCAGCCGAGGAAAATTGCGCTGCTGCGGGAGTTCCTTGTTCTTGAAAAATAAATTTGGGATTGGTTACCACTTGACCCTCGTCCTGGAGGGCAATGGAAGGGTCCATGCCATATCGAGACTGGTGACATCGCACGTTGCTAAAGCCGAGAAGGCGAGACGACACGGAAGGGAGCTGAGTTTCATTCTTCCTCACAACTCGGTGGAAAATTTTGCCCCCCTGTTTTCGGCGATCGAGCACGAGATCAAGACGAGAGGTAGCAGGCTCGGAATAAGCAGCTATGGGGTTTCCATGACGACCCTCGAGGAGGTGTTCCTACACCTCGAGAAGGACGAGGAGACCGAATGCACCATGGACAATTTGTCCAAGAAGATGGTGAGAAATAGAGCGCTCAGCAGATCATTATCATTGCAATCGAAAAGTACTTCTTATCAGAGCCTACAGAATGAGGGTGCCACTGTGCAGGTTGATGGACAAGTTAAGGGCGCTGGTGGTGAGCCCGATGGAGTTCATACCGATAAAAATCCAGCTATTCTAGGCCTTGGACTAGACCCCATCAAGATTCGGCCTAATTTTTTTCAGACACTCTACGCTATGTTGAGACTGAGGTGTCTGAGATTGTTCAGGAATATTCAGTTGCTTTATTTTACTATTGTCGCGCCACTTGCTCTCGTCGTACTTGGGTTGTACTTGAATAGTATTCAGACTGTTGAAGTTAGGATGCAGTCGCTTGAGCTCAATAACAGTGAGTACTCGTTTTGGTGGTAAACTCTGGTGTAGCTTTACCGTTGATAATGAACATTTCGACGATTTTTTCCACAGATACGTACGGCAAGGAAACGAGAATACTGTATACAAATCGCACGGAGCGTGACATATTGCCGATGATGCACCAGATCAATCAGAGTGTGTTTGCGTTGAGAGAGTACGATGGTAATTACACGGATCTGCTGACCATTGCTCCATACATGGCAGTATTAAATATCGATGACTACGACAAGCGTCGGATGAACTTGACCATCACCTATAACGACACCATGCAGCATTCGTTGCCCATTGTTATGAACATAATATCGAACGCGTATTACAGGTAATTTGATTGATTGACTGATTTATTAACTGCACATTATGTTGTGGAAAAACTATGGCTGAATAAACCCGCAAGGGCTTTGCAGACTGAAAACAGATGTTCAAGTCGTCTCTTTTCCTTTCGATACTCCCAGGTTCTTGGCCGGCAATGACGCCTCAACGTTGATCGAAGTCCGGACCCACCCGTTCCAGCAGACGTCGCAGCCCCAAGAATTCAACATAGGAATAGCCAGTTCGGCCCTCTTCATCGGCATGAACTTTGTCCTAGTTCCAATCACCCTCGCCGTCGACATGGTGTACGATCGCGAGGTAAGTCCCTCGACCCTGCCCCACATTTCTCCCTCAACCAACGATCTTCTTCAATTCTAGATAAAAACGAAGAACCAACTCCGAGTCAACGGTTTGTCCTTTCCCATGTACTTCTTAACCTACTTCATCGTCCTAGTATGCCTGATGTCCTTCATCTGCCTCTGCATCCTCGGCATAATTTTCCTGTTCGACGTGCCATCCCTCCAGGAGGTGCCAGCAATCCTGACCCTCGGCAGCCTCCTGATGCTCTACTGTCCCTCCTCGATCCTCTTCTCGACCTGCCTCAGCTACATCTTCGACAAGATGGACTCGGCCCAAAGCATCCTCCCAAACATAGCAACCTTCTTCGGACTGATCCCCTTCATCCTAGTCATGATCCTGGACATGCTGGGTCTGGGTGGGACAGCAGCATTCGCCCTCCACTGCGTCTTCTCCCTCCTCAACTCCATGTACGTGCCGTACGCAGCTGTCTACTACGTCGACCGTGTCCACCTCATGTGTTCCATCAACGCAGCATGTCACCACCTCTCCATATCGGATTACCTAACACCGGAGATACTGGTGATGGCTCTGGGTGTTATCCTGCACTGCCCCCTGTGGTTCTTCGTCCTGCTGATTCTCGACGTGAAAAAGTCCGGTGGTAAAATCAGTGAAATCTTCAAGTACTTTATCAGAAATGGTGGCGCCATAGGCGAAGAGATAATGGAGAACAACGACATCGGCGAGCACGAGGACACCGATGTCAAGAACGAGCGTCAGAAGGTCTTCAACTTCATAACATCGTCCTCGGTGCAAGAGCCACCAGTTGTTTTAGTACAAAATTTGAGGAAGGAGTATCGACAGAGAGAGGCCGCTACGTCCTGTGGCTGCTGCAATAAGAGTGATTTGCAGCAGGAGCAGGCGATTCAGCCGAAGAAAGTGGTGGTGAGAAATTTGTCCCTTGCAGTTGAGCCCGGTGAGGTATTCGGGCTTCTTGGGCACAACGGGGCCGGCAAGACAACCACCATGAAGATCATCATAGCTGAGGAGGCTGCGACGAGAGGGAGGGTCCAGTTGGGTGGACACAATATACATTCCCACATGGCAGAGGCCTTTAGGCAGATGGGTTACTGCCCTCAGCATGATGCCCTCTGGAAAAATATCACTGTCAGGGAGCATTTGGAGCTGTACGCCGCCCTGAGAGGTGTGCCGTGGAAGGACGTCGACAGAATTGTCGATCTTTATCTGTCTGGATTGCAGATACAAGAGCACGCTGACAAGCAGACGCAGGAGTGCTCAGGGGGGACTCGAAGAAAGCTCAGTTTTGCTATGGCTATGGTGGGGGGCCCCAAGGTCGTCCTCATGGATGAACCCAGCACGGGGATGGATCCCAGGTCCAAGAGATTCCTCTGGGACACCATTCTGGCTAGCTTTCAGGGGGGCAGGGGGGCCATTCTCACGACCCATTCCATGGAGGAAGCTGATGCACTTTGCTCAAGGGTCGGGATTATGGTCAAGGGGGAACTCAGGTGTATAGGCTCAACTCAACATTTGAAGAATTTATATGGCGCTGGTTATACGCTTGAGATGAAACTACTCGGGGGTGATTCTACCCCTACGACACCGTCGGGGGATAGGATTGCCACGCTCAAGGAATTCGTTGCTGGCCTCTTTCCGGATGTTACGCTTGAGGAGAGCTTTGCGGATAGACTGGTGTTCGGGGTGCCTCAGCACGCTGTTCAGTCGTTGGCTGATTGTTTCATGCAGTTGGAGAAAGGTAGGGGTAGTCTGAGGTGACAGGCAGGGAGAGGTATTTGGGGGTAACTGGGCGGCGGTGAACAGTCAACATGGCCGATGTAGAAGGCTTCGAATGGAATCAGTATAAGTGGTATTAGGGAAAGCTTCGGATCCATACAATTGGGGCTAGGCTTCTCAGTAATATATGGGGTTTAATGAATCGATCTCCTTGGGACCTGAAAATGGGACTAAATATTCTGAATTGGAAAGTTTTATCTCGGCCATCTTTTGAGCTTCAGCGCCGCCACTCGTCGACAAGTGGCAAGACGTTTCGCTATTACCGCCAACTTCATTTTTGGGGGAATCCCCGTCCCATGTATTTTACGATTTCATGAAATAAAAAATGTTGGAAGAAAATAATCGATTCCTTGGTTATGGGGAATTTGCTACGTTCAATGAATAGGAAATGGGGAAACAGTTTGATAAACCAAGCACTCGATCTCATCAGCTGTAAAATTTTGAAATTTTGAGGTTAAAAACAGATTTTTAGCGAGTCGAGTTTTCAAAAGATTTCGAAAATTTATTAATGTAATGATGGACCAAGGAAAAATTGTTGATGTGTTCGATACATTTAAAAGTGAGACCATAAATTTGTACGAATTTTCCACTCACGAAATTTGTTTGAGAAAAAAAAATGGGAAAACGGCGGGGATTCCACTTACTGTATTTTATTTTAAGAAGATGACGATCATAGTCACAATTTTGAGGCAGACATGTTAGGATAATATTAAAAAATAATAATGTTTTTTCTTTGCAGCTAAATTGGAGCTGGATATCGAAGAATACAGCTTCAGTCAGACAACCCTGGAGCAAGTATTTTTAAAATTTTCCCACTACGACGAAGTAAGCAGTGAATTATAATGCAAAAGTTGATAATAACCTAATTATTGAAAAATGTTTTCGAGCATTGAAAAAAAAATAGTAACAATAAGATAAGATAATCCATTCCAAGATTGAAAAGAGACATTGCCTCGAGTCCAATATATGGAGGTGGATGCGTTAGAGAGAAGAATTTTATCAAATTGAGAGAATTCCCGTGGGTGCGAGAGATTGAATTTTTTTCTCATTCACTTTTTTTTGTCACGTCGAGTGGTGAAAGAGGGTCGGGGACCACAGAGGGAATGTGTTCTACGAGTAATTGAAGAATATAATTTTTAGTGTAGCAATGAATTCAGCTTCAGTCAGCAACATTCCGTGAAAGCGAAATGGAGAGGTCTCCTGAATAACCAATGAATTAAATAATGATGAACTAATTGAATATTGGAAATTAATCCGTCATTATGTCGTGAATGAAACAACGGGAAAAGGAAGAAATATCATTCTGTAAATAGCGGCAGTGGCGCCTTGTTAATTTGTAATGAAAATTATTGATTCAGAAGTTTATGTTTAGAAAATGAGAGAAAATGAAAAAATTCAAGTATATTTTTATCCTTTCGGACAATCGTGAGTGATGAATTTTCACACAACTGTGATTGACATGAGATTTCTCAATCAATAACCATGTTTTTATTTACTCTTAATCGAACGTCGACCATCGGAGATGATAAGTGGGGAAAAAATAAACAATTTTTTTTCCATATATTATTTATCGATTGTCCATTTATTGTCTTTGGGGTGCGTCCGAGAGTTGCAATAAATTTAAGTAGAAATTTTTGAAAATACGGAGAATTTGATATGTATTTCCTTCCCCCTAGTATGCAATCAGAATGAGATTTGTACATAATAGCAAGTAGATATCGTAAATATTAACTACACGATTTGGCAAATTTTCCCGCTTCGATTTCGAATTAATGAGTACCAAGTAATTCGAGTGAAACGAAGAAAACCAATGCCCTCTTTAAATTTCTCCAAATTCGTCTGAATACCCGAGACGCTAGATAGTTGATTCTAAAAATAAACCTCTTCATTTCTTATTTGTTCAAAATGCTCAGACAATTAGTCGAACATTATCTTTTTCTACTTGAATACGAAAGCCCAGTGTGGATCCTATGAGGACTGATTATTCAAGTTTGCTGGTCATTAGTCTGAGTGATGAAAGAGACCTTTATTAAAAACTTTTCAATGTTGATAATTCTCATTCGCCGTTATGACAACGAGACGATTTTAGAGAATAGATTTGTAAATAATTTGCACCGGTCTCTCGATGGACGTGCAGTAGAGTGAGAGAAATAAATAGACGAATAAAAGTTCGAGTGAGAAGTGAGAACAAATAATTGGGTGCGGCAGGATGAAAAGAACTACTGAAATTCAAACAAATTATTGCATGAGAATTCTTCCCATCGGGAAAGTGTGATGAACCGAGTTTAAAATCATTCAGAGATGCTGAATAGTTACAATAAATGTTTAAAAACTCGAGGTGAGTGACAAGTCTGGCCGCCATATTGCTTGGAGACCCCTTCCCTGAAGCCCAAGAGACTCCCAAGATGGCGGCGCGCAGACCTGTTCCACCTCACGTTTTTAAACATTTTTTAAAATTATTTCTTGACTTCGGACGCCCCTCAAATGGCGGCATCACAGTCTCGTGATGGGAAGAATTTAGATGTGACAATTCTCGGCCATAAATCTTATACAAATTATTGCATAAGAATTTTTCCCAATTGGAAAGTCTGATGAAACGGGTTGAAAATAATTTGGAGATGCTGAATAATTACAATAAATGTTTAAAAAGCCGAGGTGAGTGGCCGCCATATTGCTTGAAGCCCCCTTCCCTGAAGCCCAACGGACTGCTAAGATGGCGGCGCGCAGACCCGTCCCACCTCGCGTTTTTAAACATTTCTTTAAATTGTTTATTGACTTCGGACAACCCTCAAATGGCGGTATCACAGTCTCGTGACAGGAATAATTTAGATGTGACGATTTCCGGCCGTTACGAGTCAATGAGCGAGGAGAATTCGCCGAGAAAACCTTAGCCTTAGTTTCAGTAGTTCGAAAAAAATTCGTGCAGAACCTCAATTCAACACGAAGTTGAACTGTTTTTAGAAAACGAGCCTGAATATATGGAAAGATATATCAAGAGAGATAATTAAATACCAGAAGGACTGATTGATTATTCCTAGTTTGAAATGATAGGTAGTTAATTAAATCAATCTAAAATCAATGAGTAACACGAATAACTGAAAAAAAGGATGTAAATCACATTTTTTTCATAAATCCGAATCGTTTGTAAATATCATACCGGATGACAAGAGCATTCATGTTACATAAATGATTAAAAAAATGAATAGATACGCATTAACGTAAGGTAATAAAAAAAATCTTAGACACAGTCAGGTTTTTACGTGCGCATCTCATTCTCTCTAGCAAAAGCAAAAAAGAAGAAAAAATGGTGAAATAGTGTGCAAATCGTCGCACGTTCTAATTAATTCAATGAAAAAAAGTAGCGAAAGGAAAACATAAATTTTAGTCAATTATGAAAATTATGAAGTAAAAAACTAAATGAGAAATTGAGTCGCAAATCGAGTTTAATGACTAATAGAATTGCGTCACGTTTTATGGAGTTGATGTAACAATTTTTTAACGACAGAAATTTTGAATGAAACCAAAAAAAAAAGAAAAAAAATCAACGAGAAGTACGAAAAACTGATTACCACAAGCACCAGGCTCATTGTTCATTAATTTCTCAATTTATTTATTCAACTATTTATTTATTGATTTGTGAATGAAAGAAATTACGCTTTTTTAATGAAAATATGAAAAAAAATGAAACACAGGTATTAATTTTTAATAATCAAATCCAATTCCACTGATCATTTCCACATCAATCCTTGAACACATCGTCAAATCAAACATTTGAGGAACAGATTTTCCCGGGAGAACATCAAATCACGAAAATTTCCACGATGTCGCGAGCTCAAACACGCAAGAGCAAATAACCAGTCACGAAAACGTGGAGACGTCTAGGCGTTTTTCATCGTAAAATACTGAGAGATAAATTGTTTTCCCGGAAATTATTTCACTGATAAACAACGACAAAATAATTTTCCGAGTCAACAATTGTCAAAAGGTGTTTAAAAAAATCGTGAAGAATGTGAAATTATCGTCGATACGCTGACCCCTTTGTTGTGAAAACAAATATTGTTTTGAATCGATAGAATTTTCAAACATTGCATCAATCATTCAGAACGACACAATCATTGCACAGTCTATTGGCGCGTTTAATCGATATTTTATTGACCCCCATCTTCAATAATTCTCCACTCCTTCAGTCCTCTGATAAGAGTCGAGGAGTAACCGGCTGAAACCGAGTTATCAGTGCCCCTCATTAATCATCAATTTGGTTTCGCAATTAATCGGGGTTACAGTACTTGATATCATAAATGTAGATTCTCGCTTCGTTCCTAGAATAATGATAGAATACGGGTTTTAAGTCTCAACTTCCGCAGCTTCTGAGAGGCATTTCGAGTCAATTTGCTTCCCCCTTATCGCGGAATTATGAGTGAGGACCCGCGGGGAATGATGTCTAACATATTTTGTGTTCGTGCATGAGTCCATCGTCAGCGGTAAACAATGATCGCATTGTATCCTTGGACATTCGGAATAACAAACTCACGAAATCACGATTTCGGGAATTGTTTGCCAGATGTTGAATAGCTTCTCAACACTGAGAAGAATAGTATTTTTCCGGCCTGTTGCGATGGGGTTTTTACTCGTGTGGCGTTGGCCTCCGAGCCGTAGGCGAGGGCTGGCCAACCACACGACTAAAAAACCCCATCGCAACAGCCCAGGAACAATATTTTTCTGTAGTGATTTTCAAGCTTTCGAGTTTGGGAAGTATGTAATACCAATTTTGTGTTCGTGCATAAGTCCATCGTCAGCCGTAAATAATGATCGCATTGTATCCTTGGACATTCGGAATAACAAACTCACGAAATCACGATTTCGGGAATTGTTTGCCAGATGTTGAATAGCTTCTCAACACTGAGAAGAATAGTATTTTCCCGGCCTGTTGCGATGGGGTTTTTACTCGGGTGGCGTTGGCCTCCGAGCCGTAGGCGAGGGCTGGCCAACCACACGACTAAAAAACCCCATCGCAATAGCCCAGGAACAATATTTTTCTGTAGTGATTTTCAAGCTTTCGAGTTTGGGAAGTATGTAATACCAATTTTGTGTTCGTGCATGAGTCCATCGTCAGCGGTAAACAATGATCGCATTGTATCCTTGGACATTCGGAATAACAAACTCACGAAATCACGATTTCGGGAATTGTTTGCCAGATGTTGAATAGCTTATCAACACTGAGAAGAATAGTATTTTCCCGCCCTGTTGCGATGGGGTTTTTACTCGGGTGGCGTTGGCCTCCGAGCCGTAGGCGAGGGCTGGCCAACCACACGACTAAAAAACCCCATCGCAATAGCCCAGGAACAATATTTTTCTGTAGTGATTTTCAAGCTTTCGAGTTTGGGAAGTATGTAATACCAATTTTGTGTTCGTGCATGAGTCCATCGTCAGCGGTAAACAATAATCGCATTGTATCCTTGGACATTCGGAATAACAAACTCACGAAATCACGATTTCGGGAATTGTTTGCCAGATGTTGAATAGCTTCTCAACACTGAGAAGAATAGTATTTTCCCGGCCTGTTGCGATGGGGTTTTTACTCGGGTGGCGTTGGCCTCCGAGCCGTAGGCGAGGGCTGGCCAACCACACGACTAAAAAACCCCATCGCAATAGCCCAGGAACAATATTTTTCTGTAGTGATTTTCAAGCTTTCGAGTTTGGGAAGTCTGTAATACCAATTGCCAGACGAGAAATCGTGAGAAGCAGTACAGAAAAATCTTTTTTACAATATGTCTCCCGGGGGTCGGAGTTAACGTGATAGAATCATGACGAATCGGATAGTACACACCAGGTAAGAATTCGTAGGTGTTGTTATTGACGTATTGAAGACCTTTTATCACAACGAAATATCAGCTACAAGAAGGTCCCGTGAACAAGGAAGTTTATTTGTCATCCAATTCTTACCCGTAATTACTCAAGCGCTCGAAGTCCACTCGCAATCAACGAAAAAGGTCAGAGGAAAACTTCATTAGTGAAGTGGACCAACGGTTGATTCAGCCTTCAGTTCTCAACCCTCATCTTTCTCCGTCTTTCCATCTCAGGGCCTTCATCTTTCTCATCTTTCTCCACAGACAGCTCTTGGGAAAATTTTCGGAATCTCTTCATATCTGGGAATTCATCGAGACCCATTGAGCTGAAGAATTTCTATAGAAAATATCTAAGTAGAATAAGTTATATAGAAAAATCGAATTCAATTGAAAATTAATTAATTAATTTTAAAATTTTGAAATTAAAATTTTTTTAAATCCTAAAAATTTTCAGAATTTTTAAAAATTTCCAAATTTTAAATTTTCAAAATTTTCAATATTTTCAAATTGGTCGCTAGGGCGTTTTAAACAATTTGATTGTTAATAAAAAATAATTGCAATGCCTGAAATTAATTGAAAATTGTTTACTTGGCGTTTAGTAATCAATTTTATTGATTAAAACAAGAATTACGCATTAGAACGCGAGTGATCGGTACATGTCTGAAAATCGGGGGTGTCTTGTAGTTTTATGAACGTCTTGGGTCCCGCCCCCGTCTGAGGCCCCGTGTCGCCAGAGGGTGTCAACTACTCAAAAATGTCAATTTTTTGTTTTCATCAGTCCTTGACCCTTAAAATCGACTTGTTCCTCGAAATTATGCGTAAATTTATTGTTCCATCACATCGAATTGAAAATAAATTTCTTCCTTCGAATATATTTTATGCTAATAAATAATATATCTTCTTCATAGATATTTTATATAAATCTTATATATAAAATATATATGAAATATATATAAATTTTTGTGTTTCATATACATATAATATAATATGTATTATCATTATATTATTGTTTTATATATATTTTATATAAATCTTATATACAAAATAGATTTATACAAAATATATATAAAACAATAATAATAATACACAAATAATATGAAACATAAAAATTTGTGTTTTGAATAACTTTTATATACAAATCAGGCCAATTCCCCACACAAAATATATAATTTTCAGAATACATATTTTTCCGCACACAGGGGAGGGTGCGGTAAAATGGACACTTCAGACTTTTTAAAAATTATTCATAACTCAGAAACAAATTGATCAATTGAGCTCAGTTTAGGCTCGTCACAAAGGGAAAGAATTGTTCTTTGTATTGAAAAACAAAAATTCATAAATTTTATCAACATTTCAACCCCTCATTAACATTTAAAAAAAAGTCAAAAGTGTCCGTTTTACCCCGTTTTACCCCCCTACAGAAACCCAAGTTTATCAGTATTTTTCTACTCCCACAAAAATAGTCTTTTTGCATCTCTCATTTTTCAGTCATCGACGTCGTTCTAAACAGCTGCGGCGTTGTCGTTGTCAAGGGTGTGTCCACACCGGACCCACGAAAATCCTGCGCCCCTCCAAAGAACCTCAACTCCCCAAAAAAAAATAATTTCCAAACCCGAGATGCACCGGCTCTCGCCCACGCTGCAGTCGCACGTGCATCCTCGCGTAAAATCCCACGAATACCCAATAATAACAACAATAACATCTGCGCACCTGATCCCCCTGCGTCTCGATTCAGCGGATAATTGTCGAGCGATCGACAGACGCGAGACGTCAGTGTGTCTGGCGTGTTGTCGCTCGGCCAATCACAGCCCCCGAATTGTGGTACGACTCGGGGAGAGGGGGAAAATCATAAGGCCATAGAGAACGCGCTCGTTCGAGAGTCATAACTGTCGGGAGAAGTGAATTCCGCCCCTGCGGCCCCACTTCGGAATTGTCGTGGCGGGAAATTCAAAAAAAAATTGTCGCTCGGGGAAAAAGGGGGGAAAAACCGGGTGAGGGGTCGGAAAATCGGGGGGGTCTTCGGGGGGATGACCTTGGGCGATTTTTCTCGGGATATTTAGCCGAAATCAGGGGTTTGGCGCCGTCATCCGCTCCCCCCACTACCGCTGAGTGGCCGCCATGTTGTCGGTGAAGGGTGGGAGCCACGACAAGTGTCTCCTCTGAGTTTCCCATCGCATTCGTGATCATTTCCTCCGTCTGTCTCTTTTCCCCACGCGTGAACGAGTGAAACGTATAAGTGAACGACTTTACGAAAGAGAATTCAAGCTAATGAGCAACACCATATCGTGTTGAGCTGCGATACCGAGTGGGCACGCCTTGACTGCTCCCTCGAATTCACTGGGGAATTGTACATCAGTTTTTAGTCGAATGTTTCGGCTTGTCTGAGGGCTAAACAGTTGAAGAGATTTTTGTCGTGAGGACAGAGGTGTGTGCGGACAATTATATTCTCGGCGGGAGATTATTCCACTTATTCATTTTTCTGGTTGAAACGAGGGTCTTACTCAATTGTGCCATGATGAACTACGGAGAATCGCCAGCGAATTTGGAGAGCAGGTTGGTTTTACTTTGTTTTTGCTTGGGGTAATTCATTTTAGGTGATGAGTCAGGAGTTTTTTTATTGGGGGCAGTTATTGGGAATTTTTAGGCGTGATACTTTCACCGTGCGGGAGGGATTCTCCTCGGCACTTGTGTAATCATTCTAGAAAATTTTTTAGTCGATTGATTTCGGTTATTTTTTGGAGATTTTTCAATTTTGGTTATCAGTTGGAAAGATTTCTTTCTGTCGGGCAGGGGGATATGTGTGGGGAGCTCAATTGGCGAATTAATTTCTGAGTTATGGATCTTAGAGAAGTCTAGTGTCCATTTTGCTTCGGTGAAGATGAATCTAGCGGAATTTTCAACGCTGGAAAATTTAATTTGTGAAAGGAGAATTTTTTTTAAGGGCAAACTATTTTTATTAGGACTTTAAAATATTCGAAAACCTCTGGAAGAATTCTTCTGGGCACTTGTGTAAGGATTATGGAAATTTTTTTATTTTATTTATTTGAGGAATTTTTTGAAGAATTGTTCAATCTTTTTTCAATTTTTTTTACGAATTGGAATTTTTTCTTGATGAATTGATGAATTCATTTCTGAGTTATGGATCTTGGAGAAGTCTGTGTCCATTTTGCTTCGATGAAGATGAATCTAGCGGAATATTCAACGCTGGGAAATTTAATTTATAAAATGAGAATTTTTTTTAAGGGCGAACTATTTTTATTAGGACTTGACAATATTCGTAAACCTCTGGAGGAATTCTTCTGGGCACTTGTGTAATGATTATGGAAATTTTTTTATTCTATTTATTTGAGGAATTTTTTGAAGAATTGTTCAATCTTTTTTTCAATTTTTTTTACGAAGTGGAATTTTTTTTTGCGGTACAAAGTAAAAAATTACATGTGTAATTAGGTGGATTGATGAATTAATTTCTGAGTTATGGATCTTAGAGAAGTCTAGTGTCCATTTTGCTTCGATGAAGATGAATCTAGCGGAATTTTCAACGCTGGAAAATTTAATTTGTGAAAGGAGAATTTTTTTTAAGGGCAAACTATTTTTATTAGGACTTGACAATATTCGTAAATCTCTGGAGGAATTCTTCTGGGCACTTGTGTAATGATTATGGAAAATTTTTTATTCTATTTATTTGAGAAATTTTTTGAAGAATTGTTCAATCTTTTTTCAATTTTTTTTACGAATTGGAATTTTTTTTTGATGAATTGATGAATTCATTTCTGAGTTATGGATCTTGGAGAAGTCTGTGTCCATTTTGCTTCGATGAAGATGAATCTAGCGGAATATTCAACGCTGGGAAATTTAATTTATAAAATGAGAATTTTTTTTAAGGGCGAACTATTTTTATTAGGACTTGACAATATTCGTAAACCTCTGGAGGAATTCTTCTGGGCACTTGTGTAATGATTATGGAAATTTTTTTATTCTATTTATTTGAGGAATTTTTTGAAGAATTGTTCAATCTTTTTTTCAATTTTTTTTACGAAGTGGAATTTTTTTTTGCGGTACAAAGTAAAAAATTACATGTGTAATTAGGTGGATTGATGAATTAATTTCTGAGTTATGGATTTTAGAGAAGTCTAGTGTCCATTTTGCTTCGATGAAGATGAATCTCTCGGAATATTCAACGCTGGAAAATTTAATTCATGAAATGAGAAATTTTTTTAAGGGCAAACTATTTTTATTATGACTTGACAATATTCGTAAACCTCTGGAGGAATTCTTCTGGGCACTTGAATAAAAAATTTCTCAGTGATAAACTCATTAAAATGTAATTTCGATCTCCGCCATTAACGAGACATTTTTGATGGCCTAATTTCCAATCGTTATCAATAGACATTGAGGAAAAAATACCCACAATTAAGCAAGAATATTGGATGGCCACGCAAATAATATATAATGTTCGCAGAAAAATTCTCGAAATTTTTTTTTCAATCAATAATTCAGTGGCGAAGAGGTAAACTGTTAAGTCGACTCATCTCCCAGTTGAGTTTTTGGGGAATATTTCCGAATCCAAGGGAGATAGCGAAATTTTCGTCATTACATTTGTTGTAGCTCTTAATCGGCCCTACAAAAAAGGTCATAATAAAAATTTTGCTATCTCCCTTAGATTCAGAGATATTCATTGAAAATTGGCCAATAGTCGAAATTAACTTTAGCGTTTTATCACTTCGCACTGGATTGAACACCTGGAGGCGCTAATACAAAGTGAATCATGTTGAGCTGAGTGCTTACGTCACCCATTAATCTCTACATGCATCCTCATGTCGTTTTCCAAATGGCAGGAATTAGACAATTGTGTCGGGCTTTCTTTCCAGACGAGTTATTGCTCAGTTATATGGACTGGGAAATCCATCACAAACTATGAGAAATTTTTTGAAATTTCATGAAAAATATTATAGTAAATCTCACGAGAGTGTGATTTACTATAATATTCATGACTTTTCAGTGGAATATGAATATTCAGAAACAAAATGACATGAATTTTCAATTTTCCCCTGAATTTTCCTGATTTTTTTAACTTTCACAGAATAATCACACTTAGAATTTTTTTTTCATTTCGTGGAAAATATTATAGTAAATCTCACGAGAGTGACATTGAGTCAGATTTAGGGAAAAGGTTTGAATATAAATTTTTTAGAAATAAAATGACATGAATTTTCAATTTTTCCCTCAATTTTCCTGATTTTTCTAAATTTTCCCAGAATAATTGAACTGAAAAATCAACTGTATTATTGATTTCCAGAATATTTTAACGGAAAGTCAATGGAACTTTTGATTTCTCAATGACAAGATTTCCTGAAATTGCAGTGGAACTTGAACACGATAAGAATTTCCGGAATTTGGCACAGAAAAATCAGACGAAAATTTTTAACAGTTGACATTTCTCAGGGGAATTATCTCCAATTATCAACTGCATTTCTGCAAAGGGAGATCTGCAACTAATTCATGCTGAATATCTATTTAGATGAAAATCGTCATTTTCTGATAAGCTTCGAGCCTCCGGAATTACCGTTGAGAGATAATTTTAGAAAAATTCAATAGCGCGAATTGACATTTGGTGAGACATAAGAATCAGAAGCGTAAAACTATTATTGAGAAATGAATCGTCAACGAGATATTAATCTTCCGTGGAAAATTAGAAGTTTTATGCAACAAGAGAAAATCTGTTGGAAATTGATGAATTTCGTCGAAATTCTAATGCAAAAAATATGGAACAATTCTTGGGAAAATTATAATACTAATGAAATTTCATGAGTATTATAATTTTCAGTAGATATGTCACATTTTTTTTTAGAATGAAAAATTTCATAAATACGATAATTTCCACTAGAATTTAATGATTTTACTTAAAATTCTGTGATTTCTGAAATTTTTACGGAAAAAATAAATGAATAAAACAACAGATTTATTTTTTTAAATGCAATAATTTTATTGAAAATTTCATAAATTCGAAAACACCAGGAGAATTTCTCATCAAAATTATAACTTTTGAAATTTTTACTCGAATTGTTACATTTTTTTTGTTAGACTAAAAAAATTGAATGATTCTACCAAAAATGAGACAATTCCTAAAATTTTTACATAACAATTTTTTTTTAAGATTTTCCTTTTTGAAAAAATGCAACAATTTTATTAAAAATGTCATGAACACTGCAATTTCCACTGGAATCATTGAATTCAGTTGAACAAATGATCCCACCCCCAAAAAATCATAAACCCATAATTTTGTTTTGATGGCACACGCCCTTCCACCGGTATCACCGCCCGAACGCCGAAACTTGATTAGATCGTAAGCCAATTTCACCCAACGGGGCCAACGGTGAGGCGCATACCGTTACCTTCACGAATTATTTTGTCGAACTAACCCGACAAGTTTCGATGGTACATCCTGCCGACATTCCCTCATCCGAAGTCAGATGAAACACCGATAAAAACCTTTGGACTGTCGAGAAAGGTCTAATCAGCTCGCGCAAAAGAAAAAACGCCACAAAGTGGTGCAAATTATCGCAATATCGAACAGTCTAATTTCCCTTCACGAACTCTTAGCAATTTTTTGCTGAAATTTCCGGTAAGAGCCTTGGAAATCTCTAACGAGGAACATTCCCATTGAAATTTCAAGGAATTGTGTCATTGAAAATTCATAATTTTATGGAGAAATCCGTGAAACTGTAAATGTCAGTTCAATTATTCCGCGGAAATGAACGAAAATCAAGGAAATTCGGAGAAATCTCTCCTTGAGTTCCAGATTCCTCTGAAGTTCCAGGGAATTCTCCAAAAAAATCTGGAATTCCACGAATTTCAGAGAATTTGGCAGTGAATGATCTTTTTTTTTAAACGGAGAGAAATGTTCAGTAAAAATTACGGAACTCTCACTTCACTCACCGATTACGGAATCGACTCAGAAAATTTAAGTGACGGTGTCGTAATTTTTCACCAGAGATTCAGATAAAAATTCCGGAACGCTTCGGAAAAATTCCGTGACAGCTCCGTAAAATTTCCTACAACCGCATTTCGCTCCGGAATTACGGAAAAAATACGTAATTTTTATTGAATATTTCTCCCCGTGTATTTGAAAATTCCTGTAACTTGTAGAATTTCCGTCTGCCCGTCCCAAAAAAAAATGGGACTTGAAATTCCACGGACTTTTTCCTCATTTTTTCAATCAATTGTTATAACCATTTCCATTGCAAAAATCAATACGACTGACGAGAATCTAATGCCCCAGTTTATCAGCTGTTGAATTTTCATATTACAATAAATGATTTGCTGACGTTCTAATTCCTGCGCTCACTGAATAAGATTTAAATCATAATTGCAATTCAATTCCTTCTAGAAGACACTTTAGTGTGAATTTCTGGAATTCACTGCTATCAATTTTTAGTTAGTTGACACGATAATTCAGTTAATCTGTTGTTCATCTCATCAATATAATTCCGTGCTTAGAATATTGTCATCTCGTGTTTGTCAGCACCAAATTAAAAATTAAAACTTCATTTGGA